ACAGATACAGACACAGACACAGATATGCACATAGACATACAGATACAGACAGACACAGACACAGATATGCACATAGACATACAGATACAGACAGACACAGACATAGATATGCACATAGACATCCAGATCCGGACAAAGAAAGACAGAGACAGACAGCTCTCCCCTCCCCACAATCCAGTCGTGAAGCAAGTGCTGGGCCATCCTTTATTGAGTGCTGCTTCGCCTTCCCCAGCTCTGTGCAGCAGCACAGGGTGAGCCCATTTCCTGGTGAGGGGCTGAGGGGCAGGGAGACTCACCAGGCTGAGAGCAGCCCCAGGGAAGAGGGGTCTGTGGAAGGCAGACCCTAACCACGGAAACCTCCCTGCGCTGGCCCAGAGGGACTGCAGGGACGTCTTGCTCTCCTCTCACATCCAGGAACCACCCGGCACAGTCACTGAGCCACAAAGAGCTGCAGTTTCCCGTCCACGGTGGCAGTGGCAAGCTGCGAAGGAAAACAAAGCCCCGTCCTTCATTAATGGATACGCCTGTCAGAAGAGAGCGCCCACAGGTGCAAGGGTGCCGCCCTCAGCCTGACCAGTCCAGGCTAGGTTGCGCTGCTGCCTCAGTGTGGCCGAGAGCCCTGTCGGGGCTCATCATCGGTGTGTGACAAGAGATCTTAACGTACACATTGTCGTAGCTGAGTGGCCACCAGTGACAGGAGAGGGGAGATGGCCACAGGAGGCACCAGGACTCCGGGTTCCACCTGTCCCAATCTGGAGGAATCGTCCTCTCCAGTCTAGTGGGGCTTACAACTCCCAGGGAAGGCTGGGGCTACAAATGGCAGTTAGTTCTTGTCAGTGTCTGGCCTCAGCACGGAGCAGCTACCTGCCTCACCCAGCCCCACGCTACACATCCCAGGAGCAGCAGCACAGAGCTGGCAGGGGAAAGCACCCTGTCCTCCACCTTGGATGGCAGAGTGGTGACTGCTGTCCCCCCCTCGTCATGGTGAGCCCCACTCTGGGAACAGGAGTCAGAGTGAGTGCCTTTGCTCCAGCTCATTTTTGTCGTCATCCAATTTGGAAGCCACATGCTGAAGAATAAGATTCCAAAGCAACTGCATAATCAGAGAAATCAGAGGGGGCCTATGACGCTGAAGAAGGGCTCAAAGGAACTGGGGAGACCCTGCACCTGCTGGGCAGCGGGAGAACTCGACTTCCAGAGTTAACATATTATACCTTCAGAAGTCCAGCAAAACCACAGTGCAACCAAAGCAGCAGGAAACACAGCCCATACAAGGAAAAGGAAAAAGTAAATTGACAGAATGCTCCTGAAGACCCTGAGGGTGGATCTACAACATTACAACTTGAACACAGCCACCTTAGAGAGGCTCGCAGAATCAAAGGAAGCTGGGGTAGTGTTTGTAAATTATGTTTTAAAGAAGTTCAAAAGGCAGCAGAGAGAGAGCACAAACCTGAATCCAAGCTGCCGCCGTCTGGCTGGGCAAAATAACAAGCAACTTGTGAAGGTTGAAACAGTGGGAGCCGCTTTATTACGGGACAGCAGAGGTATAGATACCTAACTAATTAGACACAGCTTGACTTAATCAACATCATCTAGATACAGCAGTCAGTCATTAAGGAATCCTCATCATCTTAATGGCTCGCTGGCGTGGCTTCACAAACCACTCCTCCTGGCAAAGTGCCAGGCGCCATCTTGACTTGGTTGTGGCCCTCAACACCAAGCAGGTGCCCTGCAGCTGGGGACGCGTGCAACCAAGTGAGATGGACTTTAGGGAGCCGAGGCAGAGCCGAGCAGCAGAGGGCAGTGGCACACCAAGACGAGGCAGAGAGACGCCAGGTCTGGGGGACACAATGCACCCGAGCCGAGACGCAGAGCCCGGGAGCAGCCTCCAGCAGGCACAGTCACACTGCCGGGCCTCGGAGGAGAGAGAAGGAGCAGACAGAACACTTGGACGATGGCTGAAAACGCCCCAGATTTGATGAAAGCCATGAATGTGAGCATCCCAGAAGCTCCAAGACTCCACCTAAGGTGAACACCGAGACACGTGAGACCAGACTCCCAAAAGCCCTGACAGACTCCTGGAACAACAAAGGAACAGTGACTCCACACTCCAGGGCCTCGGGAGACATCAGCGCTCCCCTCAGAGAGCAGGGCTTGGTGTGCTCGAGGGGCGAAGAGGAAAAACGTCCCCCAGGAACCCTGCATCAGCAGAGGGAGGGAGAGGTGCAGCAGACAGTGCCGGAGACGGCGAGCAGAGGGGAGTGTCCCGTGTCACCACCATGCTCACCCACAGAACAGGGCCACAGTGCTCTCCCTGCTAGTATGATGACATGAAAATGGATTCTGCCGTCACAGGTAACTCACAGGTAGCCAGAAAGAACCAATAGAAAATAAAGTAAGAGGGAAGGCAAGACCTTCCCAGATAAACCGGAGCTGAAGGAGTTCATCAGCACTAGACCAGGCCCAAGAGGTGCTCAGGGGTCCTGTGGGACGTGGAAGGACACCAGGTAGCAGCTCAGAGCCAGGGGGACACGGGACATGGACAAAGGCAGGGGCAGTCATACAGCCATCACACTGTGACAGGACTCCGTGACTCCTCTGTGTGATCTGCATGATTTGAAATAGAAATACATTTTTAAATAATCATCAGTGTAAAAGCTGGTATCATTGTAATTCTGGTTTACAACTCCATAATTTTCTGTTATATAAAGGACCAATGCATTTAAAAGAATTATTAATTTGTGTTTTGGAGAACAAAATATATAAATATGTGATTTTGTGACTTCAACAACTGAAAAAGGGTGGAGACAAGATGTAAAGAAGCAGAGTGTCACACATCACCGAAGTCAATCTGGTATAAACTCAAATTAGAGTGTTATAACCTTAAAAGGTTAAATGTAATCCCCATGGGAACCCCAAAAATAGCTATATAATATATACAAAAGGAAATGAGAAATAAATTGAAACATTTTACTAAAAAATAGACTAAAAATAAGACAGTAATGCAGAAAATAAAAGAAAATAACTATAAGACATACAGGAAACAAATAGAAGAGTCACAGAAATAAGTCCTTCCTTATCTATAATTACTTTAAATATAAGTGTATTAAACTCTCCAAAGAAAAGTCAGACTGGCCAAATGAATTAGAAACACACATGATCCCACTACATTCTGTCTACAAAAACTCATTTTAGATCCAAAGATACACGTAAGTTGAAACTGAAAGAATAAAAATATTCAGTGCAAATAATAATCAAAAGAGGGCAGGTATATCAATATCAGAAGAAGTAGACTTTAAATCAAAAGCTTACTAGACACAGAACGTACACTGTGCATCTAAAATGTCTCAAGGAAGCAAGAAGATATAATGACTAGGGGCATTCACACCCCTAACAGACTGTCAAAATACAGCAAGGAGAAATGAAGAACTGGAAGAAGACACAGTATCAAAATCACAGCTGGAGATTTCGATACTGTCCTCTCAAAAATGAACAGGATACCCAGAGAGCAACTGGAAGTGTGAAGAGGACTTCCTGGACAGGCCTCTGCAGAGCCCCCACCAGCAGCAGCGCACTCTGCCCCACGGCCCCGGGACATTCTCCAGGAGAGAGCACAGGTTCAGCCAGGAGCAAGGTTTCCATATTTTGAAAAATGATAGAAATATTAAAAAGTAACTTTTCTGCCCTCATTGGATGAAATAAGGAAGTCAACAATAAAAGTGAAACTTGAAAACTCACAAAATTGTGAAAGTTATTCTTATGTAACCAATGGATCAAAGAAGAAATGACAAGAGAAATTAGAAAACAGTGAAATATGAATAAAAATGATAATGCAGATAACACATGAGATAACACAGACTCCAGAAAAAGAGGAAATCTGCAGCTGTGAATGCTTATACAAAAAGTCAGATCGACAACTAACAAATAAGAATAAACCAAACCCAGGGCGATCAGAAGAAAGAAAACTTTTAAAAGATTAAAGTAAATGAAGAAAATAAAAACACAAAAACAATAGGGGAAATACCAGTGAGACCAAAATTTAGTTCTTTGAATGTATCAACAGAATTGGAAAATCTTCAGCTAAGTTGGCTGAGAAAAATAAAGGAGATTCAAATTATTTACAATTATTTACAGTCATGAATGTGGGTGACCACCGACATTACAGAAATGAATGCTGATAAAAGTCCCTGTGAACAGTTTTACAACAGCCTATTTGGGACAGTTTCTCAGAAACATAAAGACCAAGTGCAATGAACAGAATGTTAATATGCCTATAACTAGTAAGAATGAATTAGTAGCCGCCCCACACTGGCCTGAGTGGACCCAGGCTCACAGGAGGCCCAGGTCCATCCCACCACCAGCAGTCACCTGCCAGAGCCCAGCCTCCAGCACAGGACCACCTCTGCTGACCAGCAGACTCCCGCGGGAGGTCAGGCCCAGACCAATCTGCCCTCACCAACCTGAGCGGGACCCAGGTCCAGGCTAGTTCCAAGTTTGCTCCCCACCAACCTGGTGTGGGAGGCTCGCAGACACAGCCTTCCCTGCACGGCCTCATGCGGTCCTTCCCCAGTTCAGGCACAGGAGGGAGGAGGGCAGAGACGGACCTGTCTCCTCTCCTTCAGTTGACAGTCTGGCTAGAAGCTTGGCCTTGCCACCTCACTTCACCTGATTGCTTCCTAAGAGCTCCTTGTGCCACACTCGACCAGAGGCCGGGGCTTCAGCAGGCGGAYGTGCTGTGTCCAGCCCACAGCCTGGGCAGGGGCCGTGATTCCCAGCTCAACATCAGCAGCAGCAAAGAGGAGGTCTGCTCCATGCCCTGGGCGCCCTCAAAACCCATTCCCTGCCCCGGGCCCAAAGACACTTGGAGGCAGTGGCCTGGTCCTGCCCAAGGGGGCCTGTGTGTGCTGGTGACTCAGGAGCAGAGGCAGAGCCCCACGGAGGCGCACAGTCCAGCAAGCACCAGTGCCTCCTGTCTGCACATGACACAGGCCTGGCCCCAGGAACTCACCCACACCCCTACAGAAGGAGACAGGAGACCAGGGAGCAGCCTGCACAGTCCCCGCAGTCACCAGCGTCTGCAGACAGCGGAGCCCAGCCTGAATGCACAAACTGCGTGAGAGGGAGAACTCCACGCTCATTTCTAAGGCTAAAAATATCAGCTTTCAGGTTGAAATAAAATTGCTTTTATTTGCAAGGCCAAAGATCGTTTTATACTCACACGCATGTGTCATATTTACTTTGAAATTTGTCTTTGGCTGGATTGTATTCTGATACAATGCATTCTGATTTTTTTTAATGAGGTGTATCTGTTCTAAATAACTCAGTCTGCAAAACACTTGTCCAGATCTCACACCAAGGACATGTTAAAGCAGAGATGACTGTCAGAGTGGCTCCTGAACAACAGAAGTGCCTCTCAGGTCACCGTGTGCCTCTGCTTTAAACTCTTGAACCGTTGAAAAGGGGAAATCGATGAAGGAAAGA